CTTGTCAGTCTCAACCAGAGCTATGAATGGGAGTCTTGTATACCAAGTCCGGTTTCTCTAACTTGGTTTATTGTTTTTCTTAATGGACTTGGGATTACATTACTTCTGTCAATTTATAGGCTGACTACTTGGAAGAAATTATGAGGGAGGCCTATTCACATCCTGCTGTTGGAGGTATCATAGTGTTTGCAGGGTGGAAACCAACAAACTGCAATGACACCTGCTTAAACAACAACAACTACGACACCTTGCCGAAAGGTTGCGCCAAGTTGTGCCTGCATGACAACAGATTCAAGAACTTGCCGTCCGGCGATGTCGTCGACAAGTTGCTTCAAGAGTGGAAGACCAGAAACTTGAAGGGAGCGACAGATAAGAATGGTGTTTTTGAGGATGCCATTTCTCATGGAGAGTACAATGTGAAGGTGTTTAATCCAGTTACTGCAAAGAGTTTGAGCATGCAAGTGAAGGTGATCAATGAGAAATCTGAACCATTGGATGTTTGGATTTCCATCTGAAAGATGGGTGGAGAGATCACTTAACCCGAGTTCAAACCAAACCCAATGCAACCGGAACTCGATTATTCCTGATGCATAAAATTTTGAACTTCAATTGTACTATCTAGACTGAAATCCATGTCCAATTTTGATTGAGAATGGGATTTGATTCTAAGCTAGACAGCTCGAGTTTGAATTCTGGATCAACCCAAATTTCATTGTCAAGTTACACAAATACCGGTTCAAGTTGGGTTTAGGTTAGGGTTGTAGAACCCAAGACCCCAACTCGAGTGTTGTCGGGTTATGATTTTTTCAAGTCCAACTCAAATATTGAGAGTTTCTATTTTTTGAAAGGGTTAAAAAGTAGACACAGAACGGTAAGTGAAACATAAAACTTCTGCAGTCTTCATAACAAGACAGTTAAAATAGACAACCAACCTTCCCTTGGAGAATATCTTCAATGGCCTCTGGAATGAAGGAGAAAGTTTCTGTTGCATGGTCCAGATCAAATTCGTCATATTCTCAATAACGAAGCCACTGGATGTTGGAGCATTATCCGTGGGGAAAGAGTTGGCGTATGTAGTGCTCGCAACGCAACACATTACTCTTCGGTGGAAAAAAAAGGGTATGGAAGCACTAGCACATCATAATTGGATTACAATCACAAATCTTCTACAAAGGAACATCATTCATGGCATTCTTTCTGCAATAACACGACAGCCCATAAAGCTGTTTTTTTTATCTTTCCAGCAATGTGTATTTATTTCATCAATATCTTTCGTCGATCAATAAGCACAATTATTCCCAACCAATTACAAAATTGCCTTACTAAAATGTAAAGAAAACAAGGTACAAAGAAGTCTGTACCTGTCACTGCTGATAATGCCATTGTTTATGCAATAACAAAGGGGAAGATTACTCGTACGGAGCCTTCACTCAGGGTCATGTATGCAATTAGAGGCACCACGATTCACATAACCATCATTTCTCAAACTTCTATTCTTAAAATTGTATTCATCTTTGAAATTTCAATGGCCATTGTTCCACTAGAGTAATGCTGACAATGAGCCCAAACTAGAAGGGCAAAACTAAAATTTTGGCAATTGTGATCAGAAGAGAATGTTGCTCTGCTCAAACCTGCTGGGAAATGAATGGCACCATATGACACAGAAAAAAATCCGCATCCAAGGAAATTGAAAATCAGTACAGGCCCAAGAACTTCCACCAGAAAGTCCCAACAACTCCCCATATCACGGCATTGACAAGGGCCATTACAAAACCCATTTTGAATACATCTGGAAGGTCTACATAGCCAGCTGTCGACACGAAACAAAGAGACAGAAATCAGTCTAGCACAACAAAATCGAAATTCTATAGACATTAATCATAACTTACATCTATATAATAAATCAACTAGCAAGTTGAATCTTTATCTCCTATACATTTTTCTCCCAAAAAAACATCACATCACTCAATTCTATCCCATGTTTAATCATTTAATATTTAGTTAATTTGTAGTTTAACACAACTTTTATTTCATACATTATCCATACACGATAGTATATACATGTTGAAAAAAATTTGTCGAATTATGCATTTTGATAAATTTTTGACGCTGAAATTAATTTTAAATGACGTAAACAAATAAATTAATTTTTAATTTGGTATAATGTGATCAATTTTTTGAACGTTAGAATCTTATGTTTCATCCTACCTTCAGGCACGAGTTATAACTAGTAATCTCATATAGATGAATGCTCCATTGGTTGCCAATAAGATCAGGGAAAAGAAGTAAACAAGAATACAATTCACGGTGTAAAATGGAGATTTCAAATATTAGTTTCTTTTTCCGCCTTCTCAGAAACCAAAAAGACAAAAAGAGCAAAAGATAAATTGATAGATAGTAATAAAAAGTACTTATTCGTTGCAAACATAAAGAACGGAAGGGGACAGATGAAGAAGTTGTGTAAATGAATTTTCAAATACATAAGCTTCACAACCAAAACAAGAAATGGACGCACCTCCAAAGTATACGGCAGCCTGACCACTGCTATAATGCGTTAGAGCACCAAACAGATTAGTATTGTAAGCTAAAGCAAGTGCTGCCAACACACCAGGCACCCCAGCTGCCAAGTTCATAGCAAGGAAAGCAGAGTATAAAGCTCCCACATGACCAGTTTGACTTGCAAATAAGTAGTGGATGAGGAAGTAAGCCGCCAGAAGAACACCAAATGCAGCTGGCCAGCTCAAAGAAAGAGATTGAAGGGATTTAGCTACAAAATCAGACATCCAGGTTACTATGCCAAGGTTTGTTAATTGGCTTGCCATTCCAACTAGGACTGCAAACCACGCCAAAGTATCCCATGCTGACTTTTCACTTAAGCAGTCATCCCAGTCAAGCACCCCCAACAGCAAGAGTATTGATAAGCCAAGCATAGCAGCAACAACACTTGCTATTCCAAGAGCATCTCTGTGTAACACCAAGCCATATCAGTGTGGAGAAATTCAATTCAAGGTAAAAAAGGAGAACATCCAGCCAAACAACTTTCAAAATTTTCAGCTAACGTTCATGAGAAAACCGACAATGCTAAGCAACAAATATTCTCCCCACATAATATGTCAATGATTTCAGCAATATATGGAAATGATAAATGCAATTTATATATTGTCAAACTCCAAAAGAATGTTTAAAGTGTACTCTTTACTCATTTCAGCAATCTAAGCCTATATGTATATGAAAAATATGATTTTGCACTAGCAACCCCGAAAAGTATGCTTAAACTTCACACTCTTATGACATGAAGGGCTAACTTGAACTATAATGAAGTTCCATCATGTATGTGGTTTGTGGGAAATATATTGTTGATTGGTGAAACTAATATATAAATCAACAACAAAGTAAGAAGTTTGGATAGAAGCTCTATTATTTTGATTTCAAATAAGGAGAATTAAAACTGAATATATCAAATGTAATTTTAGTAGAAGAAGAAATCTAAACGGGAAGTAGTAAAGATTGAAGTTCCAGTTGTAAAAAATATTGTTATATGAAGTGTACCCATAGGGAGGGTGAGATCGGAGAGAACATTTACTCATAGAATTAAAGCCATTTGAATTTGAGAAGGGGAGGACATTTCATGTATTATGTGATCCAAGCATACCTCTTAGTTGAGCACCAATACAAGATAAATTAAGAGAAAATCAACTATCACAGATTAAACATATTCAAATAAAACTCATAACTGCACCAATGAGGAAGAATGTATGATAGCTTTGGACAGTAAGGTAACCAAAATTATCAATGCTGAGATAATAAAGAAAGAAATGACAGCTTAAGGTTTCATGGTAAGATTCATGTAACATCTCTCATGTAAATATTTCATTCTCTTTTCCAAGGAAAACAACCTTATATATGATCACTCAATCTTGTGATCGCAAAAAATAAGTTCAATAGAAGTCTCTTTCCATATACAAAAGAAGTGATGAACCACTGCTGCAATAATTCAGAAATATCTGGCCTGGAAAAACATTTACTCTATATTCGATTTTGATCAAACAGACAGTGCTGAGCCTGTTGCATTGTGGAATCCATATAAAAGTTTTAGGAAAAATGAATGCTTAACTAAATCTATACTATCCACCCTAAGTACTCATTTTCCAGTGATATATTCTCTCACTCTTCCTTTCATCCTTTCCTTCCTTCTCGCTTCTAGTTAAAATTTTAGGAGCCTGGTGAGCATACAAGTCACCACCTTATCATGGAATTCATTTATGAGTACCATTCCACCACGTTATGTGTCGAATTTAAATTTCACCACAAACAACCATACAATTGTTTGTTCTTGGAAATGATCTAACAAGAAGTCTATGGCTTTATAAAGTTGAACATTCCTTTCTTATCTTTATGCATGACAAAGAGTTTATATTGATGACAAACAGAAATAATATTGTTATCTACTAATTTATGGCATAATTCAATGTGAAGTAAGGCACTGTACTCACCCAAAGACCCACAAAGAAACCGCAAGAAGCATTGTCCCAACCATCACCCATTCATTTTTTGTGACAGGACCCATAAGGTCCAGTTTCTTTGAAGCCATAGCAGGGGCATCTGGTGTATCTTTGGTTTCAGGAGGATAAAGTTTGTACAATAAAAATGGAGTTGCTAAAAGAGAAACCAATGCAGGTAAACTAGCAGCCTTAAACCAAGAAATCCATGGGCTAGCAACTATTACCCCAAGTTCCTCAGCTAGTTTGAGGCATAGCAGATTTTGAGCTGCAGCAGTTAGGAACAGAGCACTGGAATTACCAGAAGCCTGCCATGCACGATAAAAGAGCAATGTATCAGTAACAGAGATGTCAATGACAAAATTTGAAATGAAAAATAGAATAAGACATCTTTTCACAAATATTGAAATAAATGCGTATTAAACATTTGCTCGAGACAGAATGTTTTATGTAGGGCCTCACTGATTGATCAATTGACAAACAGAATAAACCCTACCCTTTGGTCAACATGAGGATAGTTGCATAATAGTATACAAAACTTAAAATCTCTACAATAAAGCCCCTAAGGTAAAATCATCTGAACCCATGTAACTACATTACCCTAAGGATTGCAAAGGATTTGAACAAAGAAAATGACAGTGTAAGCAGCATAATTTATAAGAAAACTAACATTTTTCTTATAATATTTCTGAATTCTTAATTTAAGAATGGAAGCACACTAGACACCATTATGGCATATTCAATTAGAAGGGTTCCTTTCGAAAGATAATTTAAAATAAAAAATCTTGCCAAATTTTCTTTGATACAAACTGTGGCATCATTTTCTCTCAAACATGAAAACTGTCCTCATATTAAGCACAGCCAAGACATTCCTAAAAGCCCAATCACTCTTTCAACTCCCAGATAGAGAGAAAAAAACCATAAACTCGAAATAATTCTCCAAATATATCTAGTTTTGAGCCAGAATATCCCCAAGCTCAGGCCACAAATAAGCGGATTGAGATCCGCTCTATTACTTTTTCACATAATTTCACTCAATGGTAGATCACCTACCATGTATTCACGTGAGATCCATTTATTTATATGTAGATCACTCACCCATACACGGTGGGTGCTCAACGTTCAGTGAAATTGTACGAAAAAGTAACGGAGATGGTAAATTAAGACTTTCATATACAATAAATGCATATTGATGTACATTCACAAGCATACAAATTCAACACATAAGAATTCCAATATCAATCCAATTCAAGAACCATAAAGAAGTCAACATAAAATCTAACCTGGAACTGAGACAGAACCAGATAAGACCCAAGCTTCTTCGCGGAGGGATCACCAGGCTTACTACCGGCCGACAATGACAATGACTTAATAATCGGCAAAAACACACCGCCAGCCCTTGCAGTCGTGCTAGGCATTGCCGGAGCAATAAGGGCCTCACTAAGAGTCAACCCATAAGACAAACCCAATGTACTCTTCCCCAGCCACTTCACAAAATACGTCGCAATTCTATCCCCCAAGCCCGTCTTCACGAATCCACGAGCGAAGAAAAACGAAATTACAATTAACCAAATCACTTCATTTGTGAAAGCACCAAAAGCAGTGGAAAAAGTCAATGTTTTAGTTAGAACCGAAGTTGTGAGACCCAAAAACGCCCAAGCTCCGACAGGTAATGGACTTAGAACCAGGCCAGCGATCGTTGAGAGGAAAATTGCCAGTAATTGCCAGGCTTGGGTTGAAACTTCCGGGGGTTTGGGGACGATGAATCGGACAATTATCCCAACTGACACTGAGAAAATCAGCGGTAAAAGCTTAGCGCCTTGAAGGGCTTTTGATTCGGTTTGTTGTGGGGACGAACTTGCGACGGCTTGGATTATTGGTTTGTGGGTTTTTGTGGGTTTTGGTAGAGGATTGAACAGGAAGGATTCGGGGTTGAGTGGAGAGGGAGAGGGAGAGGGAGAAGAAAGAGATTGGGGTGGTCGGAGGGCTGAGATTGGGCGAATTGGCGTGCGTCTGGGAGAAACGGAGGGTGGGGATTTGGAGAGAGAAAATGACTGTGGGCGCGATCGAAGGTGTAAGGAGATGCGAGAGAAGGTAGAAAAAGCTATGGTACTCTTCCACGAAGAACAGAGTACAAAGCTCTCCATTGTAGAAAGAGAAACTTGAGAGACTCCGAATGAAATGTGATTTGATAATTGAATCAGTCTCTCTCTCTCGCCCTCTCACTCTGTGTGTACGTGTGTGTGTTTACAGGTAAGAGAGAGAGAGAGAGAGAGAGAGTTTTTGCGTCCTGTTAGTTGTGAATGGCGGAAACTTCTAGGACTACAAAGCTTTACAGAGTGAACCGGTTTTTCGGGAAATGCGACAGAGCGAAGAGCCTGTTTGTCCGTTATGAGCACAATTAATAACCAGAATAATCAATTTTTTTTCCATTTTTTGGAAGGAACACATTATTTATTACATGATATTTAACATTTGCAACAATCTTCGAATTTATTACGAACCGTCTTTGTAAATAAATAAGTTGAGGAAGAGCTTAATTCTCCACTTAGGTCGTTCTTTTACATCTCTCGAGAATGAAAATATAAAAAAAAAATAATATAATATACGGATAAAATTATTTTTCATCCACTTTACTTCCGATTTTGGAGGGATTGATTTTAGTGAGTTAGAAAGAAAGTTAATTCATCCACTTTTTCATCCTTTCTATTTTTTTTTTATCAAACATGTTGTTTTATTTATCCCTTTAACTTTTCATCTTTCAAACTTTCTATTTTTTCACTTTTTTATCGTACCAAACGGAACGTTAAAGAAGACTTTCATTTTATTCACTCACTTGGCAGAAAACTGAAATTCACATGGAAAATTAGTGAATAATTTCAGTTCTTTCCAGAGATTGTCAACTGACTCCTATCCAACAAGACATGATGCCAAATTTACTAACCTTTCTGCAAAATAATTATTCCTGATGGGCCAAGTCCATTCAAATCATCAGTTTCCAAAATATTCAAGGACACGATAAAAAAAATTGCTTGCTATCAATAAGGTATATATAACCATGATAAGTGGATAGATTTTGTTGAATCCTCTCCCAAAGAAAGGGACAGCAAGCATCATCAATATTCCCCATCCTCTGCAAATGTAATAGAAATTTAGCAACATTTGAAGTTGAACAATCTGTACAAAACTGCCGGAAGTTTCTGATGTTCATGGGTAACTTCTCACCTATCTCTTCCAGCCGGACAGTTAGTCACCTACTTAAGAAACACATTCTAAACAAAGAGCGGGAAACAGAGAAACATACCAACGAAGAAAGGGGAAATACTTACAAGTGATATGAGAAGACAAAACTGACAGTACTTGGCTCTAACTGGTTATTTGATTTCAAACACAACAACAAATTGTCCAAAGAAGGATCAACCATGTGTTATCATTATCCTTCATGATATTTTAAAGATAATTCTATGTGGTTTTTTATAAAATAGCAGAAAAGGGAGAATATAATCCAAATGTCTTCAAAATTATATTTACCATGTGCAGTTAACCCACTAACCATCAGCCTGAATCAGCAATTTAATAATTCACCTGAAACAAGTCGCAGCACAGTTGCTATAGACATCTCATCTAAGATATGTAGAATTTTGGTAAACAAATGAGTTGGAATAAACTCAAGACTGCAGCTAACCCGAACTCATCACTTGACTAGGTCATATGACAGGTTCTCAAGCTTTTCACACTGTCCTTTTAACATCTAAACCTTGTCTGCAGTTCTTCATCACACATAAGGGGATGCCTAATCAAATGTAACTCTTATGCACGTCATCTTATGCTCTGGCGGGAATCTCAAACACACCAGTAGCAGTTAAAATTGTTCTCATTTCACCATTTTTTTTTAGTCACTCCAATTTTTTTTTAAAAAAGGGCAAAGCCCATGTACACGAAAGGCCTAAAAGCACATGCAGAGGAAAAACTATATTACTGTTTTAGCGCATCCAGGATTGACACAGGATAATCGACCCATCTTTCCTCCAAACGTTTTCCAAGAAAAAGCCTTTGTCAAATGCTTCTATATTTCATGCGCATTCCTAATTATTACAACACGTTGATCTATATTTAATTGTGTTGTCAGTGTAGGTTCAAAGAAACTGAATAGAAAATTGACCCAAGCTTTAGGAGTCTATTTCAATGGTTAATCTCCACTACCCTAGATCATCAAATATTAGTGATTCATTCTCCATTTCCAAAGTGCAGTTCAAGCTGGGATTGCACCAATTAAGTCCCTGTTTATTATATCCCGAGAAGGATAATAAACCAAAAAGTTTCTGATCCTTCAATGTTTGTAGAGTTGCCCTCCAGAACAGGAATTCAGTAATGTCCATCATTATTGTTTACATTAAAGCTTCAGTTTATTGTCCGTGGAACTTTGGATCCATCACAATGCAAGAAGCACAACTTGCAACGTGCAAAATATGGCATATTTATGATTTATATTTTGGGATGAATGAGTCTGACCGGAGAGAAGTTAGATGAAAAGAAAGAAAAAAATTTAGTCCATCCCAAATTTCACCACATTTTAAATAGCGATCTGTAAGACTTGCACAATGATGCACCTCTTACAGATGTCATGCATGGATGTTGACTTTCGTGTTCAAAAGAAAATTATGGTTATCAATGTATGATCTGCCCATCAAAGGGCACTGCCAACCAAAAGATTATGCAAGAAAACACAGATTTGTTCAAAGATAGTCTTGGCCCCCTCAGGAAGACGTATAAGATTGAGAAAGTTGTACGAAATTGGAGGTGCATATCATGCAACCATCCTGGTAGACATTAAGAATGAGATTTCCCACCAACATCGTCAAACAAAATAAACAAGAAATAAATTTCTAAGAATATAGTTAATTGAAATCCAAAGGGGAGACGGACTGACGCAAGCATGAAAGACACGAGGTATACCTGTAGTAGTCGCAGCAACAGTAGTCGGACCCAGATAAGTCAAGGTTGACATAAGTATATCCAACTGAGAAGTGATAATAACATTCATATCACTCTACCAAGGAGGAGCAGTAGCAGGAGCAACGACTGTAGGTGGTGGTACCTCAGCAAGGACAACAATATGGCTGCGAGGAGGCGGTAAAGCTCCGGATGGAGCTTCTAGCAAGCAACCCTAAGATGTCTTGTTCAGTCACAATAATCACACTGATGAGAATCTCCCTATCTACGCTGATCTGGGGCACACTAACGGTGATGGTCTGAGCGCCGTCCACCCCAAGCCAAGGGTCCTGAACGAGACCCTATAGTAGTTGCAAGGGTTATCTGGACGGCCTAAGGAGTCAAGGTCGCAACCGGAAGTGATGCAATATGGATACAGTGCTTATGTTGCTCAATCATCGCACACACCTCATAAAGGGACGGAAGCCTCAGCATTGACAAAATCTGGGAACGAGGTCTCTCAAACTCATCACGAAACCCCATAAAGAACTTGTGAATCCTATCCTCTTACTCTAGAGTATGCAGGAATGCTATTCTCTCGGGTTCTATCTTCGGAATAACAGTAAGAGGACGTAAAGTCTCATACTCAAGGCAGCGCTGGGTCAAATTACCATAATAATCCTAAACCGTCATATCTCCCTGCCGAGCATATGAGAGCTCCTGAGAGAGCTCATAAACACGAACCCCTCATCTTAATTGGGAATATCTCTATAAGTGTCGCCATTGTTTTTTCATCAGTGTCCTAATCCATGTCATTTTCTCCCAATCTATCACCTTGGGGTTTGAAAGAGGAGTCTTCATTGAGCTATAAATAGGATATCAACATTGAAAGCATTTTGAATCAATAAGATTGAGGAGTCCAGCACAGATATAGTAGCATAAAACACCTCAGACATGCTCAATAAGCAAAATTACCATCTGGAGCAACATCTTGTCAATAATATTCATGTATGGTCTCAGAATATCACACTTGGACATTTGTTTTGATATTGCTTGAGCAACCTAATGCAATAAACCACCACCATATGTTAAAAAAAAAATTAAATTTAAAAAAAAAAACCTTCCCAATAGATCATGATTCAAAATTTTATAAGCTCCAAGGAAATGTGAGCCCAGGTTAAATATCAAAACTTATGAGCCATATCAAAACTGTTAATGTAAATATAGCAAGAAGAAGTAGAATTCCTGCATTATCCATTTTTAGAACTGCTTAGCAATGACAGGGGAGTAACTTGAATGCAAACCTAAGCTTTAACATTTTCCTTCAAGTGACTGCTCTTAGATTCAAAATGTAATCTGACGCTAGACAGCCCAAAAATTTTACAGGCACACCAAACAATGACCCCTAGCACACTGCATAAATCCTTGATTTCATAAGGCTTATAAGGCTAGAGATAACATCATAAGGACTACGTTCAAGGCCAGCTAGTCTGTATAATTGCATTATAGATCACATTATTCATAGTACATATCCTCTCCAAAAAAATAAAAAAGGTTGACTTTGACTCCAATATTAAGAATCAGGCATAACTTTTACAAGTAACATCACCATCTGGAAATATTTGGCAGCAAGACAAGTACAAGATTATTAACTTTTAATGCACACTAGGAGTTGAATGAACTAATGAAAATTGATGGTCAATCGATATCAAGAAGTACCACTAGTTTTTAAATTGCTTTGACCCCAAGGCAAATCGAAAAGGGCAATACCATTCTATCATGCTTAAGTCCTAACTTTGGCGTTTTGGTAAGGAAGAGAAGCTCAAATGCTGTGACATTGTGCTATCATGAGAATTGTCTTAGTTATTTGAAGGCAAAGAATCTACTTTTAAGGAGATTTGGGAATAGTTTAAAACCGTTCCTCTTGCCATAATACCAAGTATTTTGTCACACTAAGCTCCCCAAGTATGGCTCAGGGGGTTGTTTAGAGCCCTTGTAGAAATTCATAGCAAAGTTTCTACTTTGACCTTAATCTTTCTTGATGAGGGCAAGTCCAACAGTGGCAAGCTTGATCAAAGATTAATCTCCTGTCTCATGACAATATACACCCACCTTTCTGTTCTTTTTCTTCATGGTAATACAGTCACCTCATGAAAGACATCTTGGAACTGTTTCAGTCCTAGAGGCAGACAATAGATCGGTCCTTGCTCTGCGA